GTGTGTGTGTGTATCCACAGGGAAAAGGAGAAGAAGAGCCTGGGAGGATACACACCAAATGTTAAATCACTTCTCTCTGAGTAGAGGAATTAAGGATAATTTATCTTTTGTTCTAAATACTTTTTTTCTAAATTTTGCAATGAGTAAAAACAGGAAAATATTAAACTTTTATTGCACATACAGTGGTTGTGGGTAGCCTAACTACATGCCAAGTGTTTGAGGTTTGAGGACATTGTGTTATTCTGAGAGGTACACTAAGCTCTTTCATTGTAAGAATTCCCTGCATTGTAAGTGAATTAATAAACTCTTTGCTATTGTTATATGCCAGGCACTCTGCTAAGAACTACATATATTACTTCTTTCATTTATATGTCACAAAAAACCCTTCCCAGCTTTATTTTTCTTTATAGTACTTATCACTTTCTGGCACTAAACAGTTTACTCATTTATCTCTACTGTATGTTGCTCCTCTCACTGGGACAGACACTTCCTGAGGGCAGTGACATGTGTTTACTCTGGTTATTGCTAGATCCCTAGTACCTACAGCAGCGCCTGGCACCATAGTTAGTGCTCAGATGAATGAACATATGGACCTTATGACATAATAACTGGTGCTATCACTATTTTACAATGAGGACTCTAAAAGAGGCTGAACAATTTGCTCCAAGTCACAAAAATGAAGCAGAGCCATTTCCCAGCCCAGATCTACACGATTCCTAGGTCTGTATTCTGAACCACTCTCTCTCATCAATTACAACAAAATCTTGAATGAAAGTGTTCTCTTCGCCCCATGTGCAGTCAATCCATGGAAGAGTGAGATATCACATGAGAACTCACAAGTATGTTTCCTCTGACTAACAGATTAAGTAAGATCTTCACATAATAGATGATGGTCTGTCATTTGCAATAGTCATCATAACAAGCACAATACCTTTCAGATCAAAAGCAGGAGGGTCAGGGCCTAGAAACAGAATCCAGTATTCACTAAATGAAGAAGAAAACAACAGCCTAGAAAACAGTCTTAAGGCATAAAAAATTTTGATTGTGAACATAAGAAGTTGGACTGAATAGATAAGCACCCTTACAGGATGAAGATTTCTCGGGGAAGCTCAGTGCTGATGCAGGAAGAAAGTTCTCAGAGCAGCGAACCCATGAGTGGCTATGGACCTTTACTAGTGCTGGTCCTTATGATCATCCACCTAAGTTGGCTTGATCACCAAACAGTCTTTTGGCTATCATGGACCTTTCCACATGAAAATATGTCAATTCTCCTGAGCATGTGGGATTTGAGAGGTAAACAGCCACAGGGAGTGTGTGCAGCCCAACACCAACCTTGGTGGGTGCGTCCAGGTCTTGGAACTCAGGGGCCTCGAGGGAGAATCCTCCTACCAGCAGACACTGTTCTCCAGTCCCTTTGGTAATTTGACTTCTCACTATAAATTAAGTGATTGGCATTCAAAATTATTAATGAAATTTTTGTGGGTTTGATTAATGTGGGTGAGTCCTTGTGGACCTGACAACCTTTGGGAGCTCTAGCAAGCCCAGTTGCTAGACCTTCAATGGGAAAATCAGCCTGATTGGTAATGGCAATTTTACCCCCAATATACGTACAGGCATACAGATGTCTATATACAGATATATACACACAGTAACACATATGACAACATACAGATGCAAACACACACACACACATACTTATGAGAACCTGTTTGGCCAGGCAACCACCCTGGATGACATCATTACTCATCTTCTCTATAACTGCAAAATCATGCAGTTGAAAGGATATGAAACATTTCCTTCAGATATCTTGTATTTCTCCATCTTTGGTGGTTGCCAACTTTTCGTTGAGGGCATGCAAAAATCAGCCCTGGTACAATAGCAGTTTACCCCCACAGTTCTGCACTAGGCTGATCCCAGGGGCAGTCAGTCAGCAGGGGCTGCTCCCCTCGAAGCAGGAAGTGAGTAGGGCCACAGGGTTCCTGGACAGAGCTGAGAAGGACACAAAGAACACCCTTTAGTCTCTCCCACCTACACCAGGCCCTTTCTCCGCAGGAGCTGACAGCTGGCAAAGGACAGCCCAGGGGTCCTAAATAGAACATCCTGTTTAATATTGAAAAACATAATACCCAAACATTTGAAAAGCCAATTCTCTGAGACTGCCATTAAGCCTACTCCTCACAGCTGTTACTCCTTGTTAGCCCACCAGAATGTAAGCTAAAGCCTTCAAGGCCATTATGACCTGGTCCCCAGCTTCTCTCTGACTGGGGGTTCACAGCATTCTCTCCTCCAGCCCCACTGGCCTCCTCAGCAGTCCTCTGACACACTGCGTGCTGCTGCCTCAGGACCTCTGCCCTTGATGCTCCTTCTGCATAATTACTCTTCCCCTACTCTTGTTCCTTCACTTCATTTAGCTCTTTACTCAAATACTAACTTATCAGGGACACTTTCCCATAATACCTAAAATAAAGAGCAGCCCCTATCTCCTATTGCTCTTTATTCTCTTATGCTGATTCATTTTTCTTCCTAGTTCTTATTCCCACAGACATACCATATACGTGTTTATTATCTGTCTTCCCCCACCAGAATATAAGCTTCTTGAAAGCAGGGATTTTTTTCTGACTTGATGACTGCCATTTCCCCAGGGCCTAGAATAGTGGCCAGCCTACAGTAAGTACTCAATAAACATGTACTTAATGAATGAATTGCAGTTCTCCTTCTTCATTTTCCTTTTTCCTAATTATTTTATCCTTTGCCTCCAAGGTTATAAAATCCTCAGCTAACATGTTGACTTTAGAAGGGTGTCATTCTCCTTGAAGTGCTTAGCATGCAGTCAAGTCATCTGCAGTGTCAGGGTAGCCCAACATGAAGTCTGAGAGCTCAGGGTCGGCTGAGAAAGGATTTTTAGTCATTAGCTGGTTCCATAGAAATTCACTAAAGGGAAAACATTAAGGGGATTCTAAAACCATTTTAAGGGGTAATGGCCAAATCCATCTTTGGAGGGGTGTTCTTTGGTTTAGGAAATTGCTTTAATAGGCCTTTTAGTTCTGCAAAGAGAGGCCTAGAGTCTGGGCAGGATAGAAGAGGCTGAAATAGGAGGGAAAAATTTTGCTCTCATTCTATTATAAAAGATGTCTATGTTGGTAAGAGAGGTTTTATAATTTGATGTTTTCTAGTTCTACTGACCGATCTGAAAACAAAGTTGGAACAGAAGCTAGAAACTTAGGGTGGAATAGAGAGGTTAGTCTGCTCAGCATGTAGAAGACTGGGCTGAAGAAGAGAAAATAAGGGGCTCCTAGCAATGGTGGATGCTTCACAGTTAGCTTTATTTTGTTTCATGGTCTAGACCTCTCCCCCATTAGCCACAAGTCTTCAACAAGAGCCATGTTTGCTACTACCAATGTGAGCTTTGGGTTAACGCTGCCATAAGGAATCAGTGGAGCCCTGTGCCAAGCTCTGGGGATGCCAAAGGCTAAAGGGGCCTCGGGAAGCGTGAAGAGGTGGTGAGCAAGGTGGCTGGAGGTGAGGGAGGAGAACTCAGAAGCAGGAGGTCAGAGATGTTAGCCAGAAGATTGTAGCCATCTACAGAATGTCTTGAAATTTGGGATAGGAAACAGAATTTCCTGTCATCAATATGATACCAGTATTTGGATAGAAAAGGAAATGGAACTCTGAAAGAAAGGGCAAGACTTAGGGGCCCTGAATCACAAAACTAGGACTCGAATCTCAATGGCCATCTACTTTTCAAACTTCATTTAACCATAGAAATCTTTTCATCAAATAATTATATAGAAATCAATGTGTAAAATAGGTCAAGGTTGAGCTGCTGTGATGAAAAGGAATAAGGGTTTGAGTTTATGCCCACTTGGCTCTCCCACTGGATCACCTTGGAGCCACACTGACCCTCAGGCATCTCTGTGGAATCCCAGGACTCCGGGAACACAGTATAAGACCATGGATCTAAAATCCAAAGCAAGAATATACTCTTTAATATTTCAGACAGTTGACCATTCAACCTGACTCTGAGTACTCATTACCTGCTGAGCAGCATGTCCATTAGCCAGCTGTCACTGATGGGGTGTTTATTCTTCCTTAAACTGAATTCCTCAACCCTGGGACTTCTGCCCACTGGTCCTAGGTTAAAAGTCAAAATAAGCTTAATTCCTTCCACAAAATAGTTCCTCAAATCCCTGAAGACCCATTATATCCTTCAGTAAGTTATCTTTACTCCAAGTTATTATGAATCCTCTATCTTTCTCAGTTATTCTTACAGTTCATATACTACTGGGGATCTGAAATGTCTGATATCAGTTGGAAAAACAAGCTCAGCACAGAAGGGAAATTCACTTATGACCAAACTACAGACACAACCGCATACACTTTGAGAGTAGTAAAGGAAAATGAGAGGTGTGATCTACTCTGAAAAGAGCTCAGGACATGTGTTTCCCTCCTCATTCACCTCAGGATGTGCCCGGGATCACCCCTAACAGTCATCAGACCAGGGACTGGGGGAATGGCTCTCAGGGGCAGAGGCACTCAGCTCTAACATTATTCCTGAAACATTCCGCAGCTGCTGAGCTCAGGAATGCAGGGCAGGAAGTGCCTAGCATGGGTTCATTTCTGCTAGCCTCAATTGACCACATGTGTATCCACAAGCTACTGATTCTTGGTTAACGCCATGGAATCTATTAACCAAAAATAAGTACATTCTGTAGCCACGGATCCATCGTTTTATCAGTCTCTCAGTATTCCTTAGTAAGAGCCAGCAGGTTTAGGATTTGCACTGGTTTGTGTGGAGCCTGTTGGGAGCCGGGCGGTGAGTTGCAAAGGTTAAGGCCAGTCGCAGAGCGAGGAAGTGCCTATGCGACACACGCATGTAGGAGGGCCCTGCCCGCCACCGGCAGCAGGAACAACTTGGGCTTCCTGGTACCACGTGGAGGTGTGAGCCTGCAGACAGTGTGCCCACTGTGCCGCCCAGCAGTGGGAGGGCCAAGGAGCCTGACCTCCAGACACAGGGCTCCTTCCACAGCCACCAGGCCTTCCTGCGCCAGGCTTCACTGCATGGTTTGCCTGTCGCGAAGCTCTTTCATGAGTGTAAACTGAGTCTTGTTCAGCAACTGAATACTTGAGATGATTAGCAGAAAATTAACACAGTAAGGATGCGAAGTGAGTTCTGAAACAGGCCCCGCTGACCTGGATGCTTCTGACGCTCTGGAGAGGTTTGTGTTAATGCCTAAAGCACACAGTTTTGTAAGTCAGTGTCCTGTGTGATATTTCTGATCTGTTGGATGTTCTGCAAGCACCTCCAGAGGAACAACAGGGACACGTTCTGATTTGCTCCACCAGAAAAATACTTCTGCCTTTGACAAAGAACATATCTCTCCTGAGTTGCCAGGTGTGCATGCAAACAGACAAGGACCACAGTGTCAATCCTCATTTCTTTCTCTTTTTCCTGCAAACTCCTTATTTTGGCCCTGTGCCTCTTAGAAGAAGCCTTCTGGTTCCATGTATGAAAGTCTTTTCTCCACAGACAGAATGTTATAGACTTTTCTGAATCCTAATTAAGGTCACTGGTATTGAAGAAAGAACCAAAGGTGATCCTGTGACACCATCGACAACAAAACAGAAGTTTGGGAAGGAAGTCAGTTTAGAAGGAAAGAGAAGGTGTGCATCTGACTGTATGTCTGCACAGTTATACATACCTATGTGGGAGTGAGGGAGAGTGTGTGTAGACATGTAATTTTCACACACCACATGTATGTGGAAAATACAATCTGTGATACAATTTGAAACAAAATGTAATTATTTTATTCTCTGAGCTCAGGATTTAAGCTATATTTAAATGCACACTCTGCCACCTGCCGGCTGTATGAGCAAGTTATATAACTGCTCTGAGACTGGTTTCCTCATCTGTAAGATGGCAATGATTTTTACTGTGCAAGGTTCTGATGAAGATTAAAAGAAGAAAATGGCTGTTCCATAATGTTATTAAACTAATAAACATTGCTGACAGATATCCTTTTGACCAAAATCTGCTGACTTCCTTTCCTTTCTCTGAGGGTCTGTGTTGTATTGAAGGGGAAGAACAAGGAGGAAAAATGGCCTCAGAGAAGCAGGGCCAAGGAGGAAAGAACTGCTTGTGGATGTGGGGAAAGAGTTGGCTTTCACTTTGCTCTACTTGTCTACACTGGAATAATCGCCTAGGAACCAACAAGGAAATCTCCCATCATCAGCAGGTAGAGGTAGCTGAAACGTGGATCTCCTGACCCCAGACCGACCTTCCATTGTTCACTTGCCATGGAGTCAGAGACAGGAGGGCCACTCACTGTGGCTGGTGGAGGGCTGGCCTCAGAGGATCTCTAGAGTCCCTTGACAGGGTGTTTTATAAACTACAAAATGCTATGACATTTCATATGCTTATTTAATCTGATGTTTATAGTTACCCTGAGAAAGGCATAACTAAAGAATCTGAGTTGCCCAAGTCATCACCTAATAAAACCTGCATCAAGATTCAAACCCAGTTCTTTGCATTTTCATGGCTCTCTCCTTAGCACCAGAGCTGCTTGCACTCCATGGCAGACACTGCTGGTGCCCTGCCCCAGTACTCCCAGCTCCCAGCCAGCCCCCTGGGTGCAGCCGCATGAGACAGTTGTCAGCACGCTGACAGCTCTATGTCAGGCACCTTTGTTTTTCATTTCCTTTTGTCTGAGGGCTTTCTTGAGACCATGGGAATTTGCAAGGAACACAACCTGGAAATGTGGGGGTGGGAAAGTAATGCTCCCTGGGGCAACCCTAAACCAACAGGGGTTAGACAGGCGTGGTGAAATGCCAACATGTGGCATGTTCCATGTGGTTTCCGGGGGTGCCCCCAGGACAAGTGAGACCCCATTGCTCACAGTAATAACAACCCACTCATCTAGTATGTCCTCTATCGGCTCTTTCCCTTCTTGTCTCACTTTCCCCACTTCCTCACGTGTGCTTCCCCAACTACCTCTTGTGTAAACAACCAGCACTGTATCTTGAGGTCTGTTGGGGAGGAACCCAAACTGAGACAAACTCTAAAATTCATTAGTTACTGCTACTGTTGTTACTGTTTTTAATTACACTACTTTCCCACCAAAAAATAAAAAGTAATAATGACTATGGGTTGCTGATCAGTCAGAACCTGATAACACTTTTAAGGTCTGAAAAAAGAGAGAGTTCTTAACAGAAGAGTAAATCATAGCTCCTATTTCACTAAGTATCCATCTTGCCAAAAGCTGCTGTAATTTTAAAGCAGAGTGGTCATAGCTTTACAGGGCATCTATTTATGTAGTTACAGATCCAGTTTGAATTTTCTAGCTATTAAACAATAGATTTTTGAATATATCCCCAGAGCAGGATATTATTTCTCAATCAAGAAACAAAAACTGAATTCATAATGTTAAAAAAATCTATAAATATGATCAAATTATTTATATTAAACATGAGGCAATCATATCAACATGCATTCTAGATTTATCAATATATTTTAGAAGGCTTTGAGACATTTCAATAATGTCTGAAAATGACCATTTCATTTGGCAAAAATAGATTCCCAGCTTTCTGCAGTTGACTGTAACTATGGGCTGAAAGTGTTTAGATTTTAAGGCATGTATGTAAAATTCTTAAATGAAAATTAGTAGTAGTGCAACCTACTCAAATGTGATAGTCATTTACTCTGCAGTTTGTCTCAGTCCACTATGCCAGATGGGTAAGACACATAAGAAGTTCATATAATGTGTTTTGTTCTATAGACTCTAACCATTTATTTAACAAAATGGAAATTTCTAATATCTAGTACTTGTCTACATTTAAAATTTCAGGGAAAAGAGACTTGTGTTCTACAGCATATACTATTACAAAACAGTTCATTATCAACTTAAAATGGCTAAAACACTTTCTCTAATGATTAGGATTCATCATCCGTTAGTGAAGTGAGGTGACATTTTTCTTGTGGAAAAGTCAGTGTTTCTTGTCAGAGGAGATGTGTTACTAGCACAACCTTCCCTTCACTCAGACCTGTCCATCAAGAATTTCTTTTACCTATGAAACAGGTGGAAATCCTTTTCTCTATTTTTGTTCTCAAGTCTTTATAAATGCTTTAATATAGGGAACAACTAAATATACAAAGCAAATGGTGGAGGTTGTTTTTCCATCCTCTTTGCTCTCATGCTCCCCTAAAATGCTAAGGTTTTCATGGTGTGTTGTTCACGTGTTGATCACTGTGTATGTGGCTATCACTAGTGTGAATGTGTGGGAGACGTTCTGAATGACGTATAGCAAAGGAACAACAAACCCCCAGGTTTTGAATTATTGCTCTAGCAAACTCTGTAGGCCAGTGATCACTTGTGTCTTGTGGAATCTGGGGGCTTGATTCCCAGGTGCAAAGTACATTTTCCAGGTTTCTCCAGGGCAAAGGCAGGGTGAACACCCTCATTAAACCTGTGCCTAATGATGAAGAGCAACTGTCCACTTTCAGCATTAATAAACAGAAGCCTCTGGTTATTGTAGTCCAGTAGAATGCCCACTCTGGCAGGATGCTCAGTCACATGAACATCGCTCACAATGCCACTGTAGAAAAATGTGTATCTGAAATGAAACAGAATAGGAAATTAAAAACAGAATTGGATATCTTGAAGGATCATGATAAAGAAAATCACTTAGAGGAAACCAGTTTTTCAGATATTAACTTCAATTCCCAATAATGAGTTACAATAATATTGTCCCAAATACTTGAACCAAATCCTTCTTAGATGCTAAAATTCATAGCTCATCTCAACAGATGAGCACTTTTAATAATTTTGTTCCTTCTCCATTAGGAGGTGGTCCCAGAATAACCAGCATATGCCCCCCTTCTGATTTTGCTCCACATTCTAATTCTTTCCCAGCTGCCCACATGTTTTAACTACCGCATTCAAGGTGTGTCACTCTTTTGAAAAAAACTCCTCTGAGGCTGCCATGTATTCTAAAAAGTACTACAGCCTTGCCTTTCATAAAATATATTAATTTTATAGTTCAAAAAATGTATAAGTAACTTACATAAGGGCCTTTATGAAGTTTAAGAAATATTTCATTATTTTTGCCCAATGTCAACCTCTGTGTATGCTTCCCCTGTACAAAACCAACTTTCTTTTCATCTTCTGAATGTTTTCTGCAGCCTTGAGGCCATAGGAGGTGGGGACTGCCTTTGAGTTCTCTCTTCAATTCAAATACATTCAATTCAACAAGCATTCATTAGGCACGTGTGAGTGTCCAGCACCTTACCAGGCCTTCTGGGAAGGCCCACAGAGTACTGTCCTCACCCTCTGGGAACCCATACCCTAATGATCAGGAAGAAAAAAACTGTTGATGACTTAAATATAGGGTAAGGCTAAGGATCCATCTCAGGGCACAGATCAGTTAAGTGTTTACTAAACACATTAATGGACCTGCTTGGCTGTGAAAGGAGAAGTTCAAGGCCAGGCTGTGAAGGAGAAATTGATGAACAGAAGCAGCTAAACTGCTCTGTGCAAAAAGTAACATAAGTTTGGAGTTTTCTCCTGGCAGTTTAGAATCAGAGGGTGGGACCCTGAAAGCAGGGAAAGAAATGAGATGGAAGAGAAGAAAAGAGATGACAGAAAGGTCTGGAGAGGGGAGGTCTGAGGGGTGCAGCCCAGCAACACTGGGGCCTTACAACCTGGGTACATGACTCTGGAATGGCAGAGGAAGCCAAGGACCTGTAAGACCTGTGATGTCTGTCTTAAAGGCCCAGAGGCTTGAGTGTAGGTTTATTTAGAAAATGGGCAATTGGCAACTTCACAGCAGAACGAAGCTCATGTGATAGGGCCAAGGTTCCCAGGGACAGGAAGATAAGCAAGATACACATGATAAAGGACCTTTTCAATGCTTAGCTAATGAGAGAGATGATAGAACATTATGAAGTTCTGGAACCTGTGGAGCAGACAAGGTGGCAGGTGGCAATGATGGGGTGCACTATGTAGGCTGGGGCTCCTACACAATGTTTTGGGAACAGACAGGCTTCTACTCAGCCAAAAAGAATGGTCAGGACTGGATGGGTGGAAAAGTGGAAGGGGGAGATCAAAGAAGCACGGGCAGCAGAAGCAATGATGAGGAGGCAAAATAAGCCTATATGTCATAGCGAGTATCACCACCTGCCTGCCAGGTTTAGAGGAGACATGAGAAGGACTTTGAGGATATTACATGGATAGGTAAGTCAGGGGCTAGAATTAGGCCTGCCCTGTCCAACACAATAGGCACTAGTCACATGTGGCCACTTAAATTAAAACTAATTGAAACTAAATACAATTCAATATCCATTTCTTCAGTCCTACTAGCCACATTTCAAGTGTTCAATAGCCACAGGCGACACCATTTTTCTATTTTTGCACAATGTCTGATTGCACAGCTCAGGTCTAGAGGGCTCTGAATGCCTAACGAGCCATTTCCTACCCCTGCTTGGAAGGCCCCTGGTGCCCATAGGCCCAGCCCCAGTCGGTCCCTGATCCAGTCCCCCTCATGGAGGCCAAGGAGGGAAAGGCATTCCATGAAGCCGTGGTCCCACCAGTTCCACAGGGCCTGGAATCTGCCTGGCCCTTCTTTCTGGCCTCAAACCAGGCCTGTCTGATTGGCTCTAACTCCCTATCCAGCTTTTGTCTGCCTTCCATGGGACTGCTGGTCCCTCTTCAAACAAAGATCGCCCAGCAGCCCTACTCTAGCGCCCTGTGTGACCCTGGAACGGTCTGTGCAGGCCCCCACCCCAAGGCAGACCCACCCCGTGGATCCTGCTGCAGGGCCAGACCCCTTCCAGCCTGGTGGCTGCTACCCTTAGGCCCCTTGTTCCCCAGCCTGGTCACATTCTCCCTGGCTTCCCTTTTGTACTGTGGTTCCATCTGAGTACTGACACCATGGTAGATATTTGAAGATTTTTGAGTAAAAAAGGAAGAGACATGATGAAAATGAGCCTTTAGAAGTGCTTGTGAGCTGTGGCCCCAGGATAGCCTGGGAGGGGTGTAGGCTAGAGGAAGGGTACAGGCCTGGTGGCTGTGGGTAAACCTGGGAAAGGGGGTGTGGAGCCGCCAACCAGGGTGGTAAGGTTAGGAATGGACAGGGAGAAATCCAACTGATTCTTTCTCCTCAGAGTATTCATTTCTCTTTTCCAGTTATAACATCTTAAAGCTTGGATTCTATGCAAGTAGAATCAAGAGAATATCAGTTTGGTTTCAAATCATGAAGCCAGAAAGAGTGAAAATACATAGGCGGTCTACCATAGCAGTTCTCTTGTTGCCCGAGAGGCCAGGGCTGCTCTATTGGGAACATGAAATGGAGGCACTAAGACCTGACATCTCTGTGCTGTGGCCACGCAGGTGGGCACACACTTGCCCCCACAATCTATGGGAACTCCCCTGGGCCTGAAAGGGTCAAAGACCAAAGTTGTTGAACCTGTTAAACAGAAGATACAATTGTATTTTCTAGAAGTCTGGAAACTTGTTATCAGAGGCTAGTCTTTGGTTGGTGTTCTCAAGGCTTCAAGCATCTAAGAAAATGTTTGTGACATCAATGCCCAGTTCTAAATCTACGGATTATAAACTCTAAATTTGAGTGATTTTAAATCCTGGGCTGGGGCTGGGTTCTTGAGCACTGCACAGCATGGAACATCAGTTCATCACAATTACTCTGATTTGATGAAATGTGACTTTAAATAGCTCTTGGAGATGGAGTCCTTATGAACCATGTCAGAAAATCAAATTCTATCAAGTAGGATGCAGGGAGAAATGTGCAGCCAGAGATATGCAAAATCCCAATCTGTGGGCCTTTTTCTGGGAACTTGCAAGCACTGAAGGCTTCTTTTTAAAGCATTCCATTTGAATAATGCCTCACATTTGTATGACACTTAACACTTTCAAAACTCTTCCCTCTACCTGATTTCATGTGATGCTCACAATCCGAAAGGTAGTGGACCAGGCACCAGTCTCCTGACAAGATAGCTGAGGCCTATTGGGCCTGCTCAAAGGGTTAACCAACTTTTGGTTAGCAGCCAATAAAAGGCTAGTCAAGGATGGAACCGAGACTAAAATCAGGTTTCTGTCTCCCAGTCCAGTGCTCTTTTATTAGACCATCCTGTGAATGCATTTAGATCATAACATGCTTGCCTTAGCTCTCTGAGACTAACACAGGTTAATGGTTTTTTCACATCAAACAATACTACTATTAATAATAAATAGAGTTAGCAACTTTGTTCTATAAAAGCCAGATAGCAAATATCTCAGGCTTTGGAGGCTATTTGGTTTCTGTTGCAGCTCGCTAACTCTGCCATTGCAGCACAAAAGCAGCCATAGAAAATATGTAAACAAATGAGCATGATTGTGTTCCAATAAAACTTTATCAAAACAGGCGGTGGCTCGTATTTGGCCTATGGGCTGTAGTTTGCTTACTGATCTGGACCGATGTGGGGAGGCCCACTTCTGCCTCACTCCCACCTCTGTGGAGGGGGCCCTCTTAGTATTACCCTTGTGGTCTCTCCCCACCCTGGGGTGAGTTTGGAAGAAAAACCTGGCTGTTCATAGCCCAGAAGCCCCTTCTTTTTCCCTATCTCTTGGTTAGGAGTTTCCCAAGGAAACATCCATCCTCCTCTGTTTCTCCAGGGGCCAACTTTGCCCTGTGTGATGAGGAAGCTGACCTGGCCAAGGCTCTGGGTGAGTACAAGTCTGTCTATTAAGAGGATTTGATATAAGAAACCTCATCCTTAGGTGTGAACCGCATTCTCTAAAACTGGCTTCCTCAGTAATTGAGTAATGGTTTAGCCTTCATATCCTTGACTCTTGTTTTCTCTCTGTGTTGACTCAGAAGTTGGGCAGTAAAGTAAGATGCTCTTTATCAGGCCCTTCAGAGACCTCTGCCTGGATATCAGCTCATGACACTGCCTGAGATGGGAGGGGCAGCTTACCTCTGCGGCCCGGAGCAGTGCATGTACCATGAAGCCTCCTCTTGTCCCACGGCCCCCGCCTGCATGGCAGAGCTGGAGCAGATGCCAAGGCGATAAGCCGGGCAGTCCGTGACCGTGGTCTCCCAGTAATGCTGCCCACAGGCAGGCAGCTCCTCACCCAGCACTGATGGGATGCTGCAGGCAAAGGTGATCAGGTTAAGTGTGGCACAGGAAGTGCCAGCCTTAATCTCATAAAGATCATTCACAAACTTACATACAGTTTAGGCAGGATTCCATCCTTGGAAACTGCTGGACTTTGACTAAAGACATCCATTGTTTCTTGTGCTCCCAACCTTGATGTGATCACCAGAGAATTCCCTAAACCCTCATGCATTCGACATATTTCCACTGCCACATGTAACATGCATCTCATGAAGGTGTGAACCAGGAAATAACAAGAATAATGGCAGGACAAAATGAAATGACACAATCTCTGCTTTCAAGGAGAGTGAGGCAGTACCAGGGAGGCTGGGAGGGGGGTGGGGGTTCCAAGAGAACATGACTTACAAAGGTTTTTTCCAAAACTTGCAAAAAAAAAAAAACAACTTTTTTTTTTTTAATTTTTAAAAAAATTTTTGATTTTGTTAAAATCTTCTTTAACAATGAGTTCCAGTTTGCTGACCTTCCTGGGCACAGAGACCAAGTAGGCGTAGCTCTTGAACAGCAAGATGGTTGGTGAGGCCAGTGCACAGCTGAATGTGGAACTAACCAGGCGTGATGAGTGTGCTTTGCAGAAGCTGTGGTCAACAGTCTCTGGGACTCTGGCCTCTCTGGACTGTAGGAGGTATACCCAGGAGGTTGTTGAAAGGCTCATTTTTGTCTCACCTTAGCTATTTTTATAACAGACATGGTTAAATGAACTCAAGCACTTTCAGTTGCTGATGGGTGACCTTGTTTCCAGGAATTGCTCAGTTTTGCTTTGAAATGGCTGAGATAGCAAGGAAGCATTTTTAATTTAAGCAGTGTTAATATTCAGTCAGCACCTTCTCCCTCTCCCCATTAACAGATGAGAAAATGATTAATGTAAGGGAATGTATTTCACTTTCTCATGTCTTTACCCAACAACCTCATTTCAGAGAGGTGGCTGCTGACAGGCCCTTGGTCTCTGGAGCAAAGAGTGACTGCCTGATATTTATGAGCTAATTTTCAGGTTAATAATAAATAGATAGAGTTCTATGAAATACATCACAGCTATCATCAGTTATTATCTATGAACTTAGCAACTGCCAGTCTATTTCTTTCCTTTTTGATTTTTAGAGGAATCAAAAGAAGACAGAAAAGCCCAACCTATTTCTTAAATCTTTCTTTTTCTGAATTAACTTATTTGTATATTTTTAGTACTTGTAATGTGCCAGGCCCCATGCTAGATTTGAGGGTTCAGAGATGCAGAAGATAGGGCTGCTGCTTGAGGATTATTCAAGATTGAGTGGCTGACAAATAACTCCACATGGGCTCAAACCTTTTCACAGACAAGACCAAAGGGTGCCAGGGCCCAGAGCAGGCTTAGCCATTTCCCAGGGCAGGTAATAACACCTGAGCTGGGCCCTACACAGGTGAATAGCAACCCAAAAGGAAAACAGTGCCAGTCACTGCTGGCTGCCTCCGTGCTGCACTGCAAGAGCGTGCTGGCAGCCCACAGCACAGTGCATCACTGCCAACGACAGCCTGGGCTTCATGGGTCACAGCTTTCAAAAGCCCTGCACGTACTCTCTGCCATTTGACCATTCTGACCCTCAGAATAACCATGACAGAGTGCAGGCAAATTGCAGAGCAGTCTGCCCGTCGTGTCCTCAGCCTATGGTTCATTTTTACTTTGATACTTGTTTTTGTGGGAGTTACTAAGGGGGTGGAAGGGGGACAAGACAGTGTGAGAAGTCTGAAAGTCCAGCATATGGCCAGAACCAGAAACTCAACAAAATGTCATTCTCCTCTATTCCTTTTCAAGTGGATGGATAAAAAAACTGGTCTGCTATTGAGAGTAACAAGAATAAACCTGGACTCTTTTCTCATTAAACTAGAGATAGTTCCTTAAAACAGCCTGTTTTAAACAAAACTATCTGTGCTTGTACATGCAATAAAAATAATGACACTCGCTCCCCATGGTGACTGCATCGCTGCCCCCACCCCCCGCCATGATGAACCACAGCAGCACCGTATGGGTGCATACGCATACATGTCTGAAGCCATACATCCAGGCGTGTGCATTAAGCCTCGTATATGCTTAGGTGAGGCCACAGCCTCAGAAGACTCTCCTGCTGAGGTATCTTGTGCCTTCTACTTACTCTGTCAGCCGTCTCTTCTCAGAGAAGCTAATCACTGTTCCATCTGAGGAAATCTGCAGAGCAGGATGAGCCGTTTCTCTCAACAAGAGAAATCTGGTTCCTGTTACAGTTAAGAAAACAGGATTGTAACATTATCCTGATGTCAAGCACTGTCCCTAGGCCAAGCCCCACATTTCAGACCTTAGTCTCCCTTTTGCCTGACTTCGAACTCCCCTGCTCAGTGTTTTTAGATCTGCAGGTGGACACTGTCATCCATGGTGGCATTCACTCCAAGGCCCTAGTGAATACCACTGGCTGGTAACCTCTACCAGTGCTGCAGGAACGGTTCCTGGACTAGAGCTCACTCTGCTAAGCATTACCTACATCACCTGGAAACCAGTTAGCAATTAGAATCTCAGGCCCCACGTGAGACCTACTGAATAGAACCTGTATTTTCACAGGCTTTTCAGGAGATTCACATGCATGTTAAAGTTTGAGTATGCACTGGTGTGACCTAAAGGTGTGGTTCTCACAATGGAAAGCCTAGGTGCCATATTGGGCCTGTAGGAAGCAGTATGGGGAGGCAGCCCTCATATCTTCTCTTAATAAATGTCATGCTGGCCCTAACCACATCACAAACAAGGCACATGCACAAGTTTTTGCTTGTTAAGCAAATCCTTTAATGTGTCACCCTCAGTCTTCTGCCATCTTTAGGTCTAGGATAAGATAGTTAAATGATCACCTTTCAAATCCTCACTTCTTTTTATAGTAGTTAAGGATAGCCAAACATTTTCTATTGGCATTTTTGTTGGATATTTTCCCCAAAATGTCATTGAACAGTTTTTATCATTTTTTGAGTTATTCATTCATTCATTCAACAAACATTAATTGGTACAAGCTATGTAATAGGTACCAAAAGTAAACAGAAGAATAAGACTGGGAACTTTTTCATAGAGTTCACAGTGTAATAACACCCTACACATCCCCCAACACACCCACACTCAGTACATACCCACAAATTATAGTTCATTTCAAGCCAAATAAGAATCATCTCTAGGATTAAAAATACACATCAGAGCCCATCTCCAGATTAATTAGATCAGGATCTCCAGGAAAGGGGCCCAGACATTAGTATTTTTTAAGCACTCTGACTGGTTGCTAATGGGTAGCAAAGGCTGTGAATCTCTTACACCAGAAAAATAAAAAAGGCATCTTGATCTTTGATTAATCTTGGGTCTTCATACCAAAACCTAGCACTGCCAGTAGGCTGGGGCCTTTAAGAAGTTGCTCTCTAGGGTGTTGTCTTTCCTGATGGTTCCAGCCCAAGGCAAGTTCACTATGAATTAGTGATACTGAGATATGACAACAGAATGTTCTTGGAGTAAAAGGTTTACACCCAGCTTTATTCTCCCGATGGTAGATTGAGCACTGGAATCACATCTGCAGCCAGCAGTCTGAGGGTCTGTAATCCACCTCCGTGTCTGCTCCTGCCGAGAGCACTGTGCAGAGCTCTTTATATCGTGATTTGGTCAACAGTAGTTCATTGCCAAGGGGTTTGGGAGCATTACCCTAGCAGTAGGCCAAGTAATTTAGGCACTTCTGTTTTCCCCACAGGTGTCTTCTCTGGGTAGTGGAAAGGAAGGAACAGGAAGGTTACCTTTGGTGGAAATGAGGGCAGCTTCACTCTGCTCACTTGCCCCAAATGCATTGATGGCTCTCACATAGAAAAAATAATTATCATTGGGTTGGAGGTTAACTTTCAGCTGGAGTCTTTTAATTCCAGAGAAAGATCTAAATACAAAAGGAAACAATAATTTAAAATAAAATGCCACATGCTAAACAACTCATCATATTTCAATCCTGCAGTGAAAGGACATCTTTTATTAACAATAATAACTTATTTTTCCCTTCTCATGACCATGGAGTCAGCAAACCAGATTTTATAAAATGGTCATTGTCCACCAAGATTACTTTATCAAATGATTTCTACCTTTGTCCATTTTTTCCAATATATACCTTCCAGAATGCTCTTTGGAATAGAACCAGATTTTTTTTTTTTTAAATTTAGAAAGCAGACTGATTTTGTGGTGAATGAGTCTCTACGAATATATTTTCTCTCATCAATTTTTGGCTGAGTGGACACTTTTGGATTAAGATGATGCTAAGCCAATCTATAATATAAAGGATCCTAATCACCTCATTAACAGATTGGAATGGTGGAAAACCTAAGGTGAGAGATGATTTTGCACATGGCCATCATGCCCAAACCACCGAAGTTGGAAACTGAAGATCTCCAAAGAAGACAATACCTTTTAAGGCAAGCTTTATTCTGGCAAGAAAAGATAATTTTAATTGCCAAATAAAATTCTCAAGGACTTGCTATTCCTAAATCTCCCATTTACATTAAAAGTGTTAGCAGTATCTAACTGGCAGTGGGCTTAGCAAGTGCACTGTAACAGCCCAATCATTTAAACACATATGGACTTGTGGATTTGAAGATGGAGCTCTCTGAACTTGCCCAAGAGCTGGAGTAGTTTTGTGCCTCTTTTCCATCTCTTTAACCTGCTTGACCCCGTGGCCTAGGGCATTTAAACAAACAAAGTCCATGAGTGCTCTTCCTTTCAGCTTCCTTTTGGGAGGCTTTGGGGAGAGTTACAAGGTAGGCTCCTTTCTAACGGAAGAATTCCTGACCTGCGTGCTAGCACCAGGGTCCTGTTCTGGGACATGTACAGCAGACGATGGTCATAAAAACAACCGTACAGTAGCCTTCATGTTCGTTCTCAGAAGGCTAGGGCTTTTCATCTGTTTGTCTGCTTTGTGTTTGTTTTGTTATTGATAAATGTACCACAGAAGTGTTAGAATGGAAAAGACCACGGTTCATCCACAGAGATTTTTTTCATATTATTTCTACTTTTGTTGACTCCACTTCTCAATACCCATCTTAGAGAATACCATGGAGAACCAGAAAAAGGAAAAAGCATCACTGACTCAGATATAAAGTAATTTAGAAGCTTTTAAAAGCAGAAAATCTGTACAGCAGTGCTCTCCCCTCCCCATGTCTGAAAGTACAAAACCTCCCAGTGTGTTGCCCCAGTAGGGGCAGTGGAGGGGGCAGACTGGGTCTATCTGTGTATCTGTTATTTCGTGCTTGTGTCTCAAAAAGGTCAGTGCAACCTCCTAAAATGTTATTGGTTGTTATTTTGGAACCTACCATGTAACTTGGCTCTCAGAGAGCGCTTGCTATCTTTAGATGCACTGAGCATGAAATCGAGTCATATGTTCACTGACACATAATTATACTTTGGTTAATTAATGAAAAACCATGTCCTGTGAATGAGAATGTAATCCCAACTAATACCTAGAAAATTATTCTGGGGTAGATGTATTGTTTATCTTATTTGAACTGATAACTGAAGAGATGTTTTAAATGTAAATTATAGTAAGTAATGAAATTATTGTCTCAATAAGTACACTTGGGCCTGAATTGAATTTCAGGCTTTATTGACACATTCAATAAATTTCTATCGATCACTCTCACATGCCCAGGCCCTGCCTCTGCCTGCTACCCTGAAGCCTCAGGCCGGGAATAGCAAGGATAGATGAGCAAGTTTCTGTTTCAGTCATACCAGCTTCATTATGTAAGAACAAGGTTGTTAGATACCAAGGATATGGTTTTGGGGATGCTTATTTCTAAGTTTTATGAAGTCGGTCAAGGAGGAAATTTCATATATAGTTAACTGCATGTTGTATCTTATCACTGATTTAGAGAATAAAATTTCACATGGTACTGAAATCAAAATATGGGATCAGAGCCTGCTTGCAGTGCATAAACAGGTCATGTAGACTTGACAAATATGTATAACACCTTCGTTGAATCTGTGAAATAAAATCACCAGGCATAAAAATGGAACTAATATGAAATGTGGTGATGTTTTACTGCTTACAAGTTGCAATGTTATGCTTAAGTACCAAGAACAAGCAAAAAAGCTCAGATACAAATGGTTCCTTTCCATGTCTATTTACTCTGTCTGACCTAACTTAAATGCCACAAAACTCTTCTGCTGTTTAGCCAAACGAAAACCTCAAAAATTTTGGAATTTGAAATCTGAAGAGTGGCAGCCTTTAATAGATTATGACTTTTTAAATTTCAAAAACAAAAACATCGTAATTACAAAGGAATCCGCATGACTTATAATGAGCTTTGCATAGTTGGCAGTAGAATTCAAATTCACATATCCAGACTGAATGAATGATTTGACAGCAAATGGAACCACCGCAAGCTGGTGCTTAGAAGAAGGGATTTTAGTCTTATCAATACTGTGACCAATCTATGTTAGAAGTAAAATTCAAAAGGCAAGAAACATGACTCAAACGGTCCCATTTTGTGTCTGAAGTGTGGGATTCTCCCTTCAAGTGCAATAGTGTAGTGGGAAGGATTGCTTTATGTGTGTAGTTTTCAGGAATGTGAGGACAAGGAAGATCTAGAAGTCCTGATGCATCAGCAAATTAATTGATTGCTGGTGGAGCAGAGGCACACTGTAATGTATAATCACAGAGCTCTGTGCCCAGCAGGTCTTCAAAGGACTCTCAACGTACTCGCCTCTTGGCAGGATGAAGCACATTTGTTAAACTCCGATGTTGTAAAGCAGCAATCAATTATTTAAAGGAGACCCACTGTCTCCTCAGGAGCCTGAAAGGTTGCCAGTTGAATGACACTGGTCTCCTCTTTTATTTCAGATGGCAAGCCACCAGGAGGCTCATATCTGCTCAATATGATGAAGGCCTTTCTGGCTTGAGCCCTTACCTTGTTTAGTTTTTGGAAGGGATGATTGAAAAGTATGACACAACTAAGTAAAGACAATAGAACGAGAATCATTTTATATGGGAACTGAAAGGAATCTTTATGAAGCAGAAAACCATCAGGGACGTAATGCTTAATGGGAACATACTATAAGCATTCTCATTAAGTCAGAGAGACAGACATGAGGGGAAAAAATGTGAGATACGAGGAAAAACTATTACCAGTTGCAGATGATATGACTGTTTATCTAGAAAACTCAAGGAAGTCAGCTGAGAAATTCTTACATAATAAGAGAAATCAGTAAGACAGGTGTGAAACTACTATAGGAAATCAAAAGACTTCATATGCAGAAAACAACTACATAGAAGATAAAATCTTACTTAAAATAGTGGCAAACATAATGAAATACACAAGATTTATACAAATAACATTTTAAAAGGTAGTACTGAGGGAAAACACACAAAAGACTTGAATAAAGGGAAAGGCATAATGGTTCTTAGACAGAAAAATGCAAAATCACAAAAATTTCAATTTTTCCTAAGTTAATCTATCAGTTTAACATGATCTCTAAAATTACCAAAGCAAACACAAACACATCCACACACACACAGTAGTCATGCAGGGGCAACCTAACTTACCAGGAGTTCTAAATTGTAAAGCTGTAAGTGAAAACTGCAAGGTACTGGGGCATAAACAGATGGATCGATGGAACAGATTATAAAGGTCAGGAATACAGCCAAACACACAGTCTCTTGAGTATATAATAATGGAAGCATTTCAAAACAGAAGGGAAAATGATGAGTTTTCTTGTTGGAATAGCTGGATAGCCATACTGAAAAAAATTAAGTTGGATAACCTATTTTACACTTTCTACTGAAATAAATTCCAGATGATAAAGATCTAGTTTTAAAAAATGAAATAACTGGATATTACAAAAAACACTGACACACACACACACACACACACACACACACACACACATATTCACAGTTATATAGATATATAGAGAGAGTGAGAAAGGGAGAGAAAGGAGGGATTTAAAAATAATACACAAAAATTAAAAGCTATTTTAAACGATATTGATAAATTGAACTAACTTAACATTAAAAAACATGCATCACATTATGCAAAATCACTAGTCATCAGAGAAATGCAAATCAAAATCACAATGAGATATCACCTCACTCCTGTTGGAATGGCTAGTATCAAAAAGACAAATAACATGTGAGGATATGGAAAAAAGGGGACACTTGTACACTATTAGTGCACAAAATGGTGCAGCCACTACAGAAAACAGTATGGAAGGTCCTCCAAAAATTAGAAAAAGACTACCATATGATTCAGCAATTTCATTTCTGAGTATTTATCCAAAGAAAATGAAAACACTAATTCAAAAAGATTATAAACCCCTATGTTCACTGCAGCATTATTTACTATAGCCAAGATATGGAAATAGCCTAAATGCCCATTGAAGAATGGATAAAGAAGTAGTGGTTTGTCTATACAATGGAATGTTACTCAGCCAGAAAAAAAGAATGAAATTTTACCATTTGTAACATGAGGGACCTAGAGGGTATTATGGCAAGTGAAATGTCAGACAGAGAAAGAAAAGTACTGCATGATTTCACTTATATGTAGAATCTAAAAAAACAAATAAATAAAAATGAAGAAACAAAAAGAAACCAAAACAAAACAGAAACAGATTCATGGAACAATCTGGTGGTTGCCAGAGGGGAGAAGAGCAGAGGGATGGGTGAAATAGGGGACAGGGAATAAAGGGTGCAGATCTTCAGTTATAAAATAAATAAGACATGGGGATACAATGAACAGCATAGAGACTATAGCTAATAATATATAACAACTTTGTATGGTGACAAATGGTAGCTAGATTTATTGTGGCGATTGCTTCATAATGTATATAAATGTTAAATCACTATGTTGTACACCTGAAATTAATATAATATTGTATGTCAACTACATATTGATTTAA